CTCCTTCCACTGCATGCACCCCTCTCCTTCCAGTGCACACCCCACTCTCCTTCCACTGCATGCACCCCTCTCCTTCCACTGCACACCCCACTCTCCTTCCACTGCATGCACCCCTCTCCTTCCAGTGCACACCCCACTCTCCTTCCACTGCATGCCCCGCTCTCCTTCCACTGCACACCCCACTCTCCTTCCACTGCATTCCCCGCTCTCCTTCCACTGCACACCCCACTCTCCTTCCACTGCATGCCCCGCTCTCCTTCCACTGCACGCCCCGCTCTCCTTCCACTGCACACCGGCTCTCCTTCCACCACGTGCACCCTGCTCTCCTTCCACCGTACACCCACTCTCCTTCCACCGCGTGCACCCCACTCTCCTTCCACTGCACACCCGCTCTCCTTCCACTGCATGCGCCCCACTCTCCTTCCACTGCACATCTGCTCTCCTTCCACTGCATGTACCCCACTCTCCTTCCACTGCATGCACCCTGCTCTCCTTCTACTGCACACCCCGCCCTCCTTCTACTATATGCACCCCACTTTCCTTCCACTGCACACCCCACTCTCCCACTGCATTCACCCCGCTCTCCTTCCACTGCACACCCCACTCTCCTTCTACTGCATGCACCCCACTCTCCTTCCACTGCACATCTGCTCTCCTTCCACTGCATGCGCCCGCTCTCCTTCCACTGCACGTCTGCTCTCCTTCCGCTGCATGCACCCCGCTCTCCTTACACTGTACACCCCGCTCTCCTTCCACTGCATGACCTGCTCTCCTTCCACTGTGCACCCCTCTCCTTCCACTGCATTCACCCCACTTTCCTTCCACTGCCTGCATCCCTGCTCTCCTTCCACCGTACACCCGCTCTCCTTCCACCGCACATCTGCTCTCCTTCCACTGCTTGATGTGTCACCCTAACGGGACCATGGTGATCCGGGCATCATTCTAGCTGGATCTCGTCAGCATCCCTGGGCTTACAGGGCCTGTTTCCCCATGAGCCGGCTTCGGGGCCACCGAGGACTATGTGGCATTCAGGAAGCAGGGACCACACCACTGCCATTCAGTCGCCTCTGACTCCTGAAGATGCTGTGTCACAGAGAAAAACTGACCCCACAGGCTCCCCTTGGCTTACAGGGTCCCTGAGAACCAGGGATGGAGGAGGGTGGGGTAAGGGAGAGCAGAGCTGGAGCCCTGGGATGGCAGGGTGGGGTGGGGAGGGGCAGGGTGGGACAGGGCAAGGTCACTCACTGGCCCACTGAAGGACAGGAAGAGTTTCAGGACGACGTCCTCGGAGAAGCGTGGGTGCCGGGCCACCAAGTTGATGAAGCGCTTCAGCGCCCTCCTCCTGGCTTCGATGAACTCTCTGTCGGCTGCAGGGAAGGCACAGGCAGATGGGGTGACCCTCCAGCCTGGCAGCCCAATCTCCTGTCCCCAGGGCCGTTGTCCGCCCCCAGTGGCTTGTCTGTGCAATGGCCAGGGGCAGTGCCTGTGTGGCACAGCGGTTAACTGGTGGGCTGCTAACTGAAAGTTTTGAGGTTCGAACCCACCAGGTGCCCCACAAGAGAACAAGGAAGCCGCATGCTCCCATGGAGATGGCTGCCTAGGAAACCTGCAGGGAAGTGCTCCCCGCCCTGCAGGGCAGCTGTGAGGGGAACGGACTGGGATTGGGAGCTGGCCTCCTGCTGTAGGCAGTGTGTGCCCACCCGCCCAGCCTTACTTACCTCCGAGCACCCTCTTGGGCGGCAGGGCTGGCACCATGCGGTAGGGGAACCTGTGCAGCAGCACCTCCTGGAACACCACAAAGTCGTTGTAGCGCCGGTACACGGAGGAGCGGAAGCGCTGGGGGAGGGCAGAGGACAGGGGGGCAGCTGTCAGCCAGGGGCTTCTCCCTGCACGGGACCCCTCGGCTCCTCGGAACCAGCACCGGGGTCTCAGGGACTGTGGCTGCCTCGTCTTTCTGCCTCGGAGTAGCTGGTGGGTCCACACTTGGGGAGCCCCTACACTACTCGGGCTCTGAGAACTCCCTGCTGCGTGGTGGTGCACCTCTCAATGCCCCGGCTTCTGAGTCTCGCCTGCTGGGGGGGCACTCCAAGGCCCCTGAATGGGTATGTGGTTCTCTCTCACTCCCCCACCCCCACAGTGCCGAGGAAGAAGGGTCTGTCAGTCTGTCTGTGTGGACCCCAGCCTGGGGGGCCTCCACGGGGTGCAGGTCTGGCCTGTCTCGCCTGAACCTGTCCTTAACAGTCAGACAGAGCGCTGTTTACAGACTGCAGGCCTGGAGCTGCCCCTCGGAGTCACCTGTCCCCTGGTGAGTAGTGGTGGCAAGCCCCTGTATCCCCACAGAACCACACATGCTCCTGCACACTCACGGCTCATGCACACTCACGGCAGCCCTGGTGGGATGCACAACCCATGCACAGAAATCGCAGTGGTCAAGCACGGCCCTGCCGCACCTCTGCAGGCAGCCTGCACACAATTCCAGAAGCTGAGGGGACAGGGGACGGAGGGCGGAGGGCGGGCAGCAGGGAAGGAGGGAGAGCCAGTGGCCTAGCGGGGCCTGGGATGACCTACAGTAAGGCAGGCTGGGGTGCCACATCCGGGTGCTCCCCGGGCAGCTCGCCTCTCTCCCTTCAAACCTGGGACCTGACCTTTGGCCAACCACATGGACCTGTTCCTGGGCCCTGACACCACACACACGTATATGCATGCATGCACTCTGTCTGTTACAAACACACACATACACTCTGCCTGTTATCCAATGGACACCTTGCACTCCACACACATGCACACATGCACACACACCTGCCCCACACCTGGCTGGCTACCCCATACTCCACACACACCGTCACGAACACATGTGTGCAGGCGTGCCTGACCCTCACCTGGCTGGACACCTCATATTCCACGTGCTTCAGGAAGAGCCCCTTCTTCTCGGGGCTGACCTCCACCTGCACGGTGTCTCGGGCCAGCAGCTCCTGCAGGCTCTGGGAGGGCAGTAGCATGTTTCCTGGCGGCATCTGCATCTGAGTGGGCACCAACTCCGTCTGCTCCGGCCCCCAGGGGGTGGGCACGTCTGCCGGGAGAAGCACGGCAGCTGCTCAGAGGGTGGGCCCTTGACAGCTCTCCTGCCCGGGAGCCAGGACCCACACGCCTGGCCACCGCCCCCCAGGGCCCCACTCAGACATCAGCAAGCTCACCCACATTTCCAGGACTCTGGAATGTGAGGCAGAAACAGAAGTGAATATTAACAAATGGTGTGCAAATGAGCCTCTGCAGTGGGGAGGAGATGCTAAAGAAGAAAGACGCTTGTAAGACCCAAACGCACTGCCATCCGTTGGCCCTGGGTCACTGGACAGTCGAGCCACCCGAGGGCATCCACAGCTGCAAGTCCACTTCAGCAGATAGCCTCGTCTTCCTCCCCCAACGTGGCCGCGGGGTTGAACCACTGACCTCAAAGTTAGCAGCCCAGCACTGAGCTGCTCATACTCTGTGGGCCCTTAAGGGAAAGTTAGGGCCATGCAGTGGTCTGTCACCCCGCTGCCCCGTTCCTACAAGCACCACCTCCGTGTCCACTCCTGGGCCACCGTCTCCGTGGTTTATAACACCTGCCTGGCCTACATGTGGCTAGATTCCTAGTCAGACAAACCCAAGAACCAAACCCCAAACACGTCAACACCCTACACAACCCAACCCCACTCACCCTCTGCAGAGCCGCCCCCAACACAGAGGGCCTGGGCACCGTGGGGCTTGCCTCAGACGCCCACATCTGCCACTGAGCCAGCAGGCATTTGGGTGTGTGGGCTCCACAGTAAAGCCTATGCACACGGAAAATGGTGTGCAGAGGGCGGGGAGTGCACCAAGAGGAGAGTGTTTACGGTTCAAGGAGCTGGAGACGTTGAGCCCCGAGTAGGAACACGGCGGCACCCCTGTGATGCCAACGCTGACATGGCCGGGAGATGCCGCTCCTGTCTCCAGGTTGCCCACGACGCCAGGGAGAACCTGATGGCTGATATCTCGTCAAGGCGGCCCTGCGGCCTCTCCACAGGAAGGGGCGGGGCGGCCCCTGTGGGTGTCCGAGGCTGTGCCTGCTTATGGAAGCGGGAAGCCCTTGCGCCCTCCCTCGGAGCTGTAGGTGGTTTCGGACTGCTGACCCTGCAGGTGAGCAGCCCAGCACGTAGCCCGCGGTGGCACCAGGCTCCTCTTGCAAGGGGCTGAGGGGCTGTTTTACTTTCTAAACCCACACGGACAACGATGTGCTCTTCACCCCTGACACGGCTCGGCGTTAGGGGTCTATGACGTAGCTAGTGATCATCAGCCTTAGGGCCAAAGAGGGAAATATAGGCAGGCACCTCCAGGAGCCTCAGCCAAAGCTAAAACTGCCCATAGGGCGTCGCTGCCAGGTGAGGGATGCTGCCCACAGGGGGCGGGGCAACTTTAGAGGGCCTCACGGCAAGGACCTAGTGCAGCACATGGCAAGAGGTGGGGCTGTCTGCTAAGAGCCACAGCCTGGGAAGCCCACCAGTCACTTCTGCCCTGTCCTGCTGGGTACAGAACCTGTTAAAACATGTATGATCTAGATATGTGTGCATGTGTCTGTGTGTCAGAGTGTGTATATGTATGTGCAGATGTATGCACATGTAGGTATACCTCTAGGAGGGTCTATGGCTATACAGAAATGTGTGTATATGTGATACACTATGTATGTGTCTGTGTATGAGTGTATATATGTATGTGGGTATATATATGTGTATACACATAAGTGCATATGTTGGGTTGCACATGTGTATGAGTGTGCATGTGTCAGTATGTACATATGCATGTACTGGGTACTTGAATGTACATGTGAGTGCAGGGTGTATTTATGTATGCATGTGTGAACAAAGTGTATCTGAGTCTTTACACAAGTGTGCATGTATGTGCATGAATGTGTACACAAGTATGCATACAATGCAGTGTGGGCTTCTCCCTGCAGAATTGTCAGCTGTGAGTCATATGCACCTCCTGAAATATTTGAACACCAACCAGTTCTCGCTTCTTGATGCTCCTGTGTCCTCAGTGAATGGTCCATAGAATCCCTCAACATGCCAACTGGAGGCTTGCGTTGTTCCTACAGTTCCTTCAGCTTGAGATCTGCTGCCTGTGTTCTTCCAGGTTGGCTTTCTGACTCCGGGTCTCGGCACCGTGCACTACAGTGCTTCACTCTGTCACCCCTGCATCATGCTGTTCATTTGCGCCGGCTACTCTGCCTCCAGGCAGGCTCCAATGTCTCCTCTGACATCCACTCTAACCTTTCCTCAGAGTGGAGGGTCTGGGAGAGGGACATTCTGACCCTCCATGATATCCAAGACCACTCCAGAGTCCAAGGGGTGTCTTCGATTTAAAATGCCAACCCCCCAAAAAAATCCAGTTTATTGGGCACTCAGACAGTGATCATCTCGTCCTCACATCCAGCAGTGTTGTACAGTTGCTACCACAGTCGGCTTCAGAGCATTCCCTCCTGCCCGCCTGGGCATCAGCCCTCCCCGAAGATGTGCTCTGTGATCAGCGTTCAGGCTCCCCTACACGTCATCTTCTGGTCCTCTGCCCCGATGTGGAGGGTCTGGGAGAGAGGCAGGCCCTTGGCGAGATGGGGTCCCACAGGGCAAGAATGGGGGTGGCGCAGGCCCCGGGGGGGTTGGTTCAGTTGTGAACGAGCACACCGGGCTACACCGTCCCACCAAAGCACAGCCAAAGGGAGTCCCTGTGCGCTCTGAGTCTCAACCAAGACACTCCCGTTCTCAAACGCTCCTGGAATCCAGACTTCCTGGAGCCACGAAAACTGATGTCCCCGAAACTATTACCCTAAGGAAGCCTTCAGGCCTTGAAGCAAGAGTACCCGATAGGGTCTTCCGTGGCTGAGCCTAAGTCGAAAAGAATGTCTGGCCTGAGCGCTGCATCTTTCCAATGACCTTTCTATATCTCCAGTTTGATGTCTTCCTACATGTCTGGTCTTCAGCATTGGGGCTCAGCACCTCATGCCTATGCTGGGACAGTCTCTAACTTCAGGTGGGATGTACTTACTCAGACTGTAGGAAAAGGAAGAGGTTGTCTGCTCCCGTGAAGCTGCCAACAGCCTTGGGTGCCCTTGTGGCAGTGCTACCCTGCCCTACTGGGCCATGGTGAGTCAGAATGGACTCTGGCAGTGAGTGTGGTCTACACTCAAGGTTATACAGGAGCAAATGTGCACTCACAAATGGTGTACTTCACTGTGCTACAATGGACAAAGTCCCAGAAACATAAACTACCTAAATTGAATCAGTAGGAAACAGAAAACCCTCCGTATAATAAAAGAAGAGACGGAATCAGTGATGAACAACCCCCACCACCACCATTTACAGCAACAGAAAAGCTCTGGGCTGGATAGCTTCACTGGGAAATTCAGCAAACAGCTACGAGATTGGTAACTGCCACCCACCCTTCTTATGCTCCTCTTTAAAACAGAAGAGGAAGCTGCACTTCCTAATTCATCCCGAGACCAGCAGGAACCTGACGCCAAAGCCAGAGAGGCCACCAGAAAAGGGCAGGTCAGCCTTACCCTCAGGGCAGCTCCAAGGGCCCTGGAGAGATGCTGGGCCACCGTGAAAGAAAGACGCACCCAGAGCACGTGGATTGCTCCTGGGAAGACACAGGTGCTCCGACATTAGGACACAGGTCCGAGTAACCAGCCACAGTCAGAGGACAAAGGAAAAGAACAGGTCATCTCTGCCGAGGCAGAAAAGGGGGTTTTAAAGTCCAGCACCTTCGCCTGCTTGAAAAGCCTCTGTAATCTAGGACGGTCAGGGCAATGCCCCCACAGGACAGAGGGCACTTTAAAAAACACCTACTGCCAGTGCCACGCTGTGTGGAGGGAAGGTAGGTGCTTCCCTAACGTCAGGAACAAGACAGGAAGTCAACCTCACCATTGGCGCCCAGGGCCACTCTGAAAGGCCCCTGGGAGCAGTTCGTCAGAGGGAAGGCAAGAAGAGGGCTTCTCTCGAGAGAAGACGTGAAGCCACCACTCACCACTCGGCAGATGACCTGAGTCCACCTGTAGAAAGGCTCTCCTCTCCTCTGAGAAGCAGCGGAGCCCATTGCCAGGAGCTCAGACAGAGACCCACATGCCGACACCAGCCGGATTCCTCCCACCAGCAGCCCCACCTGCGACCTGCAGGACCTGCACCCTGCGGGGTGGGGGGCGGGGGGGAGGCTGCTGTAGTCACACCACATCCCCAGGTGACCCTGGATGTAAGGAATAAAATCACACACCCCCTACTCAGGAGAGTTTCAGACACACACACACCCTCCTCTTTCTCCCAAGGATCCACTGGTGGCTTCAAACTGCTGAGGAGCCCCTGCACCACCAGGGCTCAGAGCCATTTCAGAGCGAGGTCAAATTCACATGGCATGAAAGCACATGAGCACACGTCCTTACTGGATCTGCTATTCCCAACCTGGGGGCTGCCTGCATTTAACCTGAAAGAAGACCCAGCCAAACCCAAACCCACAGCCATCGAGTGGATGCTGACTCAGCGGCCCTGTCGGACAGGGTAGGGCTGCTGCCCTGTGGGTTTCACTGCTGATGGGAGCAGAAAGCCTCGTCTTTCTCCCGATGAGCGGCTGGCGGTTCTGAACCGCTGCCCTTGTGGTAGCAGCCCAGCATGTAATCCCGTGCCCCCAGGGGTCCTTCCAGGGAAGTGAGGGCGGGGGGAAAAGGGAGAGCAGCAGGTGCTGGGGCACACGAGGCCTCCACCCACAGGTGTCCGTGCCATGAACTTCCCTCTAACGGCCGGTGCTCTGGTCGCCCCCGCTGGTTGTGGGAGGCAGACGTTCTCTCGGGGCAGAGGACCAGAAGATGATGTGTAGGGGAGCCTGAACGCTGATCACAGAGCACATCTTCGGGGAGGGCTGATGCCCAGGCGGGCAGGAGGAGGGAATGCTCTGAAGCCGACTGTGGTAGCAACTGTACAACACTGCTGGATGTGAGGACGAGTGATCGCTGTCTGAGCGCCCAATAAACTGGATTTTTTTGGGGGGTTGGCATTTTAAATCAAAGACACCCCTTGGACTCTGGAGTGGTCTTGGACATCGTCAGCCAGCCCTCTGTAGACATTTCCATTTGAAGAGCACAGAACTCCAATACCAGCAAGCCGGGCCCACCACTGTCTCACACATACACCACCCCCACCCCCAGTTCACTGAAGGAAACAGACCACTCCCGCAGCCTACCCTGCCGGGTGACGTCACCACTGTGGGAAGGGTGGGTGCTGGTGTTCTGTGGCCCTGACCGCTACACCCAGTGAAAGGACTTGGACAAACCCCCTCACACCAGCGTCAGCAGCCACGTGGGGGCCAAGAGGGACGGCGAGTGGAGGGTCTGGGAGAGAGGCAGGCCCTTGGCGAGATGGGGTCCCACGGGGCAAGAATGGGGGTGGCGCAGGCCCCGGGGGGGTTTGGTTCCATTGCGAATGACACACCGGGCTACACCGTCCCACCAAAGCACAGCCAAAGGGAGTCCCTGTGTGCTCTGAGTCTCAACCAAGACACTCCCGTTCTCAAACGCTCCTGGAATCCAGACTTCCTGGAGACACGAAACTGATGTCCCCGAAACTATTACCCTGAGGAAGCCTTCAGGCCTTGAAGCAAGAGTACCCCTGATAGGGTCTTCCGTGGCTGAGCCTAAGTCGAAAAGAACGTCTGGCCTGAGCGCTGCGTCTTTTATTCTCTGGATGCGATGGCGGCGGCGGCAGCTGGATGAGACGGGGAAGCAGCCAGGGCGAGGATGGTGACGGGGTTAGAACAGGCTCTCTAGGAGGGAGGCAGAGCCTGGAGGGTGGCACCGACAGCCCTTAATGCACACGGGGCAACTGCTGATGCAGCAGGTGCTTTACTGGAGGGGCGGCTATTCCTTCTCAAGCTTGTGAAGCGGTTTGCACGTTCGATTACAAGTCTCCAGCGCTACAATGTTACTAAGAACAAACTAGTCAGTTTCCGTCTCCAGCGCTACAATGTTACTATGAACTAACAAGTCCTTCTCAGGAAACAGGAAGCGAAGGTCCTCATCGGGGCCTGGGAAGTGCAGAGTCAGCAGCTCTGCGCAGGGAGCTCCTGGAAAAAGCACTTCCAACTTGGGGACCTAGAGAGGAAGAGGCCATTCCAGCTCATGGCGACCCTGCAGGCATGGGGGTCAGGGGAGGACAGAGCAGAGCTGTCCCATGGGTTTCAAATCCTTACGAAGGTGGACAGCCTCTTTCTCACACCAAGCAGCTGGTAGATTCAAACCACTGACCTCTCGGGTCAGCGGCCAAATGTTTAACCCAACGTGCCTCCAGCTGTCTGTGTGCAGGCAGCACTATAAAAAAAAGTTAGTAAGTGATCTTTTTTTTTTAATTCTTAACTTAAGAGTTCAATTAAAGAGACCTTTTGCACTTGTTCTAATTCACACATGGGTGTGAAAGACCTCAGACACACAGCACAGCACAAGCCAAGAAAAAACCTGATTCAGATTCACCAGTATTTCACACAATTAACACCTTAGTTCAGACCCACATCACCGCATCCAAAACACCAGATTCATAGATTCACCAATACTTTACACAATCAACACTTTACTTTTGTTTTCCTAAGAAGCATTTTAAATAAGCCTTACATATCACCCCTCCCCCTTCCTACTGAAAAAGCACACACCCTTGACTTGAGTTGTCTCACTCCCAAGCACGCTGTTTCTCTAGCATTACTTTACACCACCACCGAGTGTACACACATATCCCAGGGCAGGGAATAGTTAATGCGGCTCTTCCAGCCAACGTCTCTAACTCTCACCAAAAGGCCTTTCCCGGCCTGGGTAAGAAGGTGGGCAAAATCCGAAGAGGCTTCAGGATTCACCTGTACGTCCTTGCAAACAGGATCCCCTGGAAGGCACCCTGCTGTGAATAATAGGAGCTCTCTGAGAAGCAGGGCGGGGTGGGGTCCCATGACCACCCAGAGCCAGGGGTGGAGCCAGGAGCCCTCTGGACCCAAGAACTCCGCTGCTCAGGGAACCTTCTGGATGCAGGGGGCAGCTGTGACCTCAGAGGAGCAGCAGCAGAACCAGAGCCAGAGCGTGGACGTCCTGGACCACAGGGCAGGCCGAGCAGGGCACTTGGGGTGGGGGGGTGGGGGCGGACAGCAGGAGGCTGGCTTGTAGAGTGGGGTGCCTCTGGGAAGCTGGGTGCCTTGGGGCTGAGGTTTACAGCAGCATGGGGTGACCCTTTGGGCATTTATCAGGGGCTCTCAAAGACGGTCTTAACACATCCCAATAGATAGCTGTGCCCTAAGCCTCCCTCACTTGCACCCCTTCTCCATGAACCTTCAGTCATGGACACTGAAATCTGTGTGCCCGTGGCAACGATAGCGAAAACAGCAGCCATGCAGTCAAGTACATGCTGGCTTCCCCGGGAAGCTGCGGTCACAAGCTGACCTTCGGAAATGTTCCCGGTTTCAAGTTGCCTCGGACACCGGCGAACACTTGGTGTTTTCTGTCCATTCTCTGCCTGCTGTTTCGTTTGCTCCACGCTGGCAGGGCAGGTCTGATGGGGCCCTGGTGGCGCTGTGGGTGGGCAGTTCGAACCCACCAGCAGCTCCTCAGGATAAAGAGGAGGTGGTCCGTTCCAGTAAAGATGGAGCATCTCGGAAACCCTCTGTAGGGTCAGGATCCATGCTGGCGGGCTTGGTTCTGCAGGTCTGCGCTGCTCGGATGAATCACAGTTGCAATCAGCGACGGTGCCGACTTCTTTTCCTGTGGAGACGATAACCCATGTCCCACCTTCCCAGGTTAAGAGTGAGGCCCGGCAGCTGCGTGATGTCTGGTGGTAGGAAACATGTCCACAGCCATGCTCCCACGATCTATCTGTTTGCTGCTCAATGACATGAAGGGGGTATGCTCAGGGCACCAAGTTCCCCCAAGACCTGCCTGTACCCCACTGCGGAGCCCAGTGGCACAGTGGGTCAGGTGCTGGGCTGCAGTCTGAACGCACCAGAAGAAAGAGAGGCTTCTAGTACTGTCGAGGGTGAGTCTCGGAGACCACAAGGCAGCCCCACTCTGCCCCAGGGGTCGCTGTGGGGTGACGTGCCCGCGATGGCAGTGTGTTTGAGTTTTCTTGAGAACTGAGAATCACGGAACCTGGAGCCACATGGCTCACTAGTTTGCTTAAGTCGTGGCCAACTGAGGTAAGGTGCGGGCCAGTCCCCTCCCTGCTGGCCCCGAACTCAGATCCCCACTAGAGATGGGCCCTCCTGCCCCCGGAGACTGCCATCCCCTGCTACTGCAGGGCCCCGTTCAGTCTGTGAGTTGTTTATGTTCAGGGAGGCCCAGTGACTCCCGTCAGAATGCCAACGGATCCAAGGTTGGCACACTTGGGACTGCTGGAATCACGTCCACAGCAGGAGTCCGCGCCCCAGCACGGCAGTCACTGCCTTTACTAGGGTCCCAGCGTTTGCTCAGCTGCTGCTTTTCTGGTTTACAGTGGTTGTTACAGAAACGTGTGCTGACAAAGCAGCTGGGTCTGAAAGTGGCTCAGGTGTTCTGGACTCTTGATTCCCAAGAAAAACCCCAAACTCAGAATCGAGGAGCCGCTGCTGACTCACAGTGACCCGGCAGGGCAAGGCAGGGCTGGGCAGGACAGGACCAGCCCTGTGGGTTTCCAAGCCCATCACTCTTGATGGGAGGAGAAGGCCCCACATCTCTCTCCCAAGGAAGGGCTAGTGTGTTTGGACCGCTGACCTTGCCGCGCGAGCAGCCCAACGCATAGCCATACCCATCCCGTTACCATGAATGTTTCATCTCCCTCCACGGCCGCCCGCGGGGCTGAGCTCTCTGGCCTCCGCCAGGGCCGGCCCTCTCCACCAAACACCCGAGGAGGAGCGGCCTGCATCCTCAGCCCAGCAGGAGCCAATTAAATCCACTTAGGCAAACATTTATTTATCTGTGGCAGCAAGGATGGCAGTGACTAAGACAGGGTCCCTGCCTTGCTGCCCCTGAGGGCCCGGCAAGCAGGAACGCGATTAATCAACCGGAAAAAGCGGTGCCCAGACGACGGCCCAGCAAACCCTGGGCTCTGAGATATGTCACAGGAAGGAGACCATTGGGTCCGTGTTTCCCCACAAACGAAGGCTGAGAGCAGCCAGATGCTCCAAGATGTGCTGAAAAACCACCAGAAAGAGCCCTGCCAGCAAGCCCCCCAGGGGTGTCATCTTACAGCAGCAGACCACGCACCCTGAGACTGCTGGGGGTTCACTTAACCACCAGGACCCCTGGCTCCCTAATGACACCGACACCCATGGCCACAGGACAGGGTAGAGCTGCCCGGGGGTCTCCGAGGCTGTATCTTTAAGAAGTACGTCCAGAGGGCTCTGGAGAGGCAAGGATGGGAGACTTTGGACATGTGACCAGCAAGGACCAGCTCCTGGAGAAGGACGTCATGCTTGGTGGAGAAGGCACGGAGGAAGAGGAGGCCTTCCAGGAGATGAACGGACACCGTAGCTGGACAAGAAGCACCGTGAGGGCCAGCACTGCAGGGAGCCCGCTGGGGCATGCAGGGATGCCGCCACCTGGGCAAGCAGGACCGAACACCACTGGCCCTGTGCTGCAAGGTGCCAGGTCTTTTCTCCCCTGGAGCAAGTGCCAGGTTTGGGCTGCCGGTCTTTCGGGTTTGACTACTCCACCGCCTGGCCACCGTAGGTAACAAAGGTCATTGTTGGGTACTGCCAAGAAGATGCCAAGTCACAGCGTCCCGTGTGGCAGAGCAGAGCTGCCCCTGGGGGTTTCCGAGCCTGGAATCTTGAGCGTCCAGAGCGGCTGGGGGGGTTTGGCCTGGCTGAGCGCTTAACCCTGGTACCACTAGGGCTCCCTGACTGGAGTGGCTCGATGGCACAGTTTTGGCGTCAGGCCGGCGTCAGGCCTGGTAAAGAGGTTGGGGAAACAAAGGGGAAGACCCTCAGGGAGATGCACCGGCACAGGACGCAGAGGGAGACCCTCAGGGAGATGCACCGGCACAGGACGCAGAGAGGAAGGGTGGTGGGGACAGCGCCAGGCCAGCCGGCCGGCTGTGCTGCATCTGTTGTCCATGGGTCCCTGCGAGGCTGGACCGACAACAGCCTATGTCAACTGTAGCGAGAGGTGACCCTCAGCCCATGGTGACCAAGCCAATAGCGGGGTGAGAATCCCAGCCCCACCACATGCCTGGGCACACTGCCTGTGGCACTGCAGCTTGAAGTACGGGATCCAACAGGGCCGCTCTTTGCCGCCGTCTCTGTGGCTCCCCTGCACAATGACTGTGTGTGAGACAAGCGGGAGGGCGGGAGGAATGGTGTGCCCCCAGTTATGTGTCGGCTGGGTGGGGCAGCTGGGACCCTGTGCTCTGTAACCAGCCAAGAATCAGCCTCCTTCTAGGCTGGGGGTCACGGACCCTCCGGGGTGAGCTGTTACTAAGGAGCAGGTCAGGGTGGGCTGTCTCCGAGTCACCACCCTCACTCAGCTCACCCCTGGTGGGATCATCCCTCTCCCTCAGGGCAGGTGAAGGAGAGAGAAGCAAGCAGGGGGACTGACACACACACAGACACACACACACACACACACACTCCCCGCCGGAGGACGGTCCCTCAGACCCAGGTCCCAGCCTTGGAGCCTCCTAGACCCGGGAGACAGAGAGCTGTGACCCGTCAGGCCATGAGAAGCAGAGGCGGCAGCAGAGGCAGGAGACCAGGGGACCACACGGCACAAGACGGTGCCCAGGGCTCCCAGCCCAGGGAGAGAGACCGAGGCTCACGGGCCCAACTGGGGGTCTCTAGGCACTTCTCACACATGCCAGGCAGGAGGTCAAGGAACCACCCCTACCACCATACCCCCAAGGAGCCACGAACCCATTCCTGTCTCTATAGATCTGCCTACCCTGGGTTTCATTGAGCCTGTGCATCTTTACAAGAGAGGGCAGCCTCGGCTTTCTCCCACGGAGTGGCTGGTGGGTTTGAACTGCTGACTGTGGTTACTAGCCCAGCACCCAGCCCACAGAACCCTGAGGCTCCTTTTAAGTAATAGGTGGTGACCTGTGATATTTCTGAATCACTAGAAAGACATGACTTTCTACTCCCATACACACTTACTGTCTTGGAAACTCACAGGGGCCACTGTGATTGGCATTGGCCCTGTGGCTGAGCTTTTGGGGTTTCCTAGGCCGGCGGACGGACTTCAGCTCTTGAGTTTGTGAAGGAGGTTTCGGTCTCCAAGTTCACGGAGGATGGGAGATCTCTGTAGCTCAGAAAGCCCAATCACATTGTTTACAAACTCTGATTCAGCACATGGGAGGGGGGTGTTGGTGGGAAGAGACTTATCTTCTTCAGGAAGGCAGTTTGTAACACTGATTCCATGTGAGCTTTCCACACACGCTGGGTTCGGCAGCGTCAGGTGCGATCCCCTCAGGGGGATGCGCAGAGTCATTTTCTGGGAACATGCAGCCAGAGCGCGGCTGACTCGACACGTGGCCACGAGGCACAGAGAAGCGCACAGGCCCCCGGGCAGGCGGGGAGTGGGAAACGCTGAAACGACTTACCAGTGGAGAAACAACGTGGAGAAGCAAAAGAACGGGCCATTAAAAAATGCATAAGCCCTACATGGGCCCCTGCGTTAAAAATGTGTAAAAAACAAAAACCTGTGAACAGGAAGAGGAAATGCATGAATGGGTCACGGTGCTCAAAGGCGGGACTTGCGGCTGACTTTGCTATTTCTGAGAGGTTTGGGGCCGTGGTTTTGTTGTTTGTGCAAGGACAAGAACTTTCTCCGCGCACCCCTTCCTACAGCGTAATACAGAGGGATGGTTCTGGCTGAACTCACCCTGGAGGCCTCAGGCAGGCAGGCCGCCTTCTCCCCCGGCGCAGACTCCTGGAAGATCACAGGTCTGGACCTCTTCAGAGCGGTGACCAAGCCCCAGCTTCTGCCAGCGGCGCCCTATAAGTCAGTCCACGCCATCTCGCTTTGACTGTGGTGAGGCAGAAACGCTGGAAAGCCCATCACCTGCTGCACCAACGGTGGGCTTCCTGGGTGCCCAGACGGCGAAGCAAGCGACCACTAGCCCAAAGGTCGGAAGTTGGCACCACTGGGCTTCTGAAAGACGGCAGCCTGGATGGTGCCCTTCTCCCCTGTAGAGGGGCTGGTTTGGGGAAGCCAGCAATGACAAACACTTGCCTGTATTGATAACCCAGTCTGCAGAACACAACCGGCGCTTGGGGGGTGGGGGGTGGTGATGCTCCTGAACCCCAACTTGGCCTGCCCCTCCTGACCCCACAAGGAGTGTTGCCTGACCCCACAAGGAGTGTTGCCAATTTTACCCCAAAATACCTTTCCCAAAGGCCCTCTGGCCCAGAGGTCTAGTGCTGACTTTAAGAATAATTGTCTAATAAACACAAGGTGCCCCGCCAGCACAGCAATGAATGGTTAAGCACCTGACAACCACACTGCAAGGTCAGAAGTTCAAAGCCACCTGTCGCTCTCCGCTGGAAAAAAAGGCCATGCTGGCTCCTAGGGGTTTACAGCCTGGACACCCGGAGGGGCAGTCCCACATACCCCATGGGGTCCCTGTGAGCTGGCACAGGACCGCCATCAGTGCCGCTGACGCAACACCAGGAAAACACCCAGCTGCCCAGAGGGGAGCATGCCTTCCCTCTGCAGCTCCCTCGGAGCACACGCCCCCACCTGCAGGCCCCAGGCACTGATGGCCACTGACCCATTGGGCTCCTCCAATAGCC